AGTTCGAGCGAGGTCAAACATAACCTAATTAATTATGGACAAAGGCCGGTTAGTGCTAGTTTGAGCGAGGTCAAACATAACCTAATTAATTATGGCAGAAGGTTGGTAGGTGTTAGTTCGAGTGAGGTCGAACATAACCTAATTAATTATGGCCGAAGGCCGGTAGGTGTCAGTTCGAGCGAGGTCGAGCATAACCTAACTAATTATGGCTGAAGGCCGATAGGTGTCAGTTCGAGCAAAATCGAACATAAGCTAATTAATTATGGTCGAGGGCCAATAGGTGTTTGTTCGAGCAAGGTCGAACCTAACCTAATTAATTATGGCCGAAGACCGATAGGTGTCAGTTCGAGCGAGGTCGAACATAACCTAACTATTTATAGCCAAAGGCCGATAGGTGTCAGTTCGAGCGAGGTCGAACATAACCCAATTAATTATGGCCGAAGGTCGATAGGTGTTAGTTCGAGCGAGGTCGAACATAACCTAATTAATTATGGCCGAAGGCCGATAGGTGTCAGTTCGAGCGAGGTCGAACATAACCTAATTAATTATGGCCGAAGGCCGATAGGTGTTAGTTCGAGAAAGGTCGAACATAACCTAATAATTATGGCCGAAGGCCGATAGGTGTCAGTTTGAGCGAGGTCGAACATAACCTAATAATTATGGCCGAAGGCCGATAGGTGTCAGTTTGAGCGAGGTCGAACATGACCTAACTATTTACAGCCGAAGGCCGATAGGTGTCAGTTCGAGCGAGGTCGAACATAACCTAATTAATTATGGCCGAAGGCCGGTAGGTGTCAGTTCGAGCGAGGTCGAACACTAATTATGGATGAGGGCCAATAGGTGTTAGTTCGAGCGAAGTCAAACATAATCTAATTAATTATGGCCAAGGGCCGATAGGTGTTAGTTCGAGCGAGGTCGAACATAGCCTAATTTTGGAAAGATAAGCCTATAAGTGAGAAGTTGTCTGACACCATAAACTTTAAGCAATGTTGCCTTGGCCGTACACTTGGAGAAATAAAAATAAACTTCAAGCATTGTTGCTTTGGTCATATACTTGGAGTCATTTATAAATTTTTGAGTGTTGGTTGGCGTTCCAGTCTCAGTATGTCTAGTCCCTTGATCGGATGTCCTGGAGAGTGCTTTAGAGGTTGGGCGATGAACTAGCCATCCCGTATTTGCATACTTTGACTTGAGGTGTTCCCTTCGTCACCTCGTTAAAAACCTCATTGAGAAAACCCAATTGGGACACAAACTCAAGTGAGGGAAGAAAGAGTACGACTTGGGGGACACTTTATCTCTTAAAAGTTGAAGTACTTAAGGTGGGTAATATTTTAGTTGTTCGGTAGTAGCTTTCCTTCCAATGTTTCTAGTTGGAATGATCCTTTGTTTGCTTTTGCCATGATTTTGTACGGGCCGTCCCAATTTGTTCCTAATTTTTTCTCTTGTGGGTCTCTGCTTGCTTGTGTACGTAGTCCCCGACTTTGAGTACGTAGTCCCCGACTTTGAGCGGCGTGAACTTTGCCTTCTTGTTATAATAGCATTCTGCTTGTTGTTTTTGGGTGATCATCTTTATGTAGGCCATGTCTTTTGGTTCTTCGGCTTCGTCGAGCTCATGCCTTCTGCTTTCATCGTTCCTTGGTTTGCTCTCATGGGAGTACCTCAGGCTCGGCTCTCCAACTTCGATCGGTATTACTGCGTCAGTCCCATAGACCAAAGAGTAGGGCGTCTCTCCTGTACTCATCTTCGGCGTTGTTCAATAGGCCCACAATACTTCTAGTAATATTTTCGGCCACAGTCCTTTGGCGTCTCCAGGCTTTTTCTTCATGATGTTCAATATCGACTTGTTGGAGGACTCATCTTTCTCGTTGCCCGCGGGGTGGTATGGCGTCGAGAGTATTATTTTGATATGCCACTTCTCAAAAAAATTAGCGACCTTCTTTCCCGTGAACTGGGGTCCATTATCGTAGTTGATCTCTTTGGGGAGGCCGAACTAGCATATGATATTTTTCCATATAAAGGTGATCAATTCTTGTTCACATATTTGGGCGAATGCTCCTGCTTCCACCCACTTAGAGAAATAGTCAGTTAAAACTAAAAGGAATCGTACATTACCTCGCCCTGCCGGGAGGGGGCCCACGATGTCTATTCCCCATTTGATGAACGACCAAGGTGAGGTGATCTAGTGGAGGTGTTCACTCGCTTGGTCAATTATTGGAGCGTACTTTTGGCATTGCTCGCATTTTTTCATGAAGTCTTCAGCCTCCTTTTTCATGGTGGGCCAGTAATATCCTGCCCATATGAGGCATCTGACCAGAGCCCGATTGCCGGAGTGAGCTCTACAATAGCCCTTTGGACCTCTTCAAGGACGCGCCGCATCTGGTTTGGGCCTAAGCATTTCACCAGAGGGCCGCCATAAGTTATCTTATATAGGTTGTTGTGGATGACACTGTACCTGGCCGCTTGCATCCTCAGTTTCTTGGCCTATTTTTATCATCTGGGAGTATGTCTTCCTGCAAGTATGCAACAATACGATTGTGCCAGTCCCAAGTTAAGATTACGGTTCTTACCTCGACATGGTCTAGTGAAGAGTTGAGAAGGTGGATCACACTTCTGTGTCTAGTTGTAATGTTTTTGGTGGCTATGGCTAGTTTAGCGAGGTCGTCCGCCTAAGCGTTTTGTGCTTGTGGAATATGATCGAGTTGACATTCGTCAAACTCGGGTAGCAGCTTATAAATTTCGGTCTGATATTTTTGTAACCTTTGTTCCTTGATTTGGAAAGTCCTTATGACTTGGTTGAGCACGAGTTGGGAATTGCAGCGTAGTTTCAACCTTTTTGCCCCGTACTTAAGTGCTAGCCTTAAACCTGCAATTATGGCCTCATACTCAGCCTCATTGTTAGTCATGTCCGGGCACTTTATTACTTCGCCGATTGGGACTTCGAGTATGAGTCTCAGTCTGGACCCTGGTGCATTGGACGTGCCGTTAGTGTACAGGTCCCAGAGGTCCTGTGTTTGGGGTGAAGCGTGGGCGGTTTCTCTTTCAACTTCGGGAATTACTTTTGTGCTGAAGTCGGCGATGAAGTGAGCAAGAACTTGTGACTTTATCGCTGTTCGCGGCTGATATGTGATATCGTGCTCGCTTCACTCGATGGCCCATTTGGCAACCTTCCCGATAGCTCGGGTTTATGAAAAATGCTCCTTAGGGGGAAAGTCATGACGATCGAGATGGGGTGGCATTGGAAATACGGTCTAAGCTTTCGCGAAGCTATGACCAAGTCCAGGGCCAGTTTTTCGTGGTGAGGGTACCTCGTCTCGGTGTTGACTAGTGTTTTGCTAATGTAATAGATGGGAATCTACGTACCTTTATTTTCCCGAACTAGGACTGCACTAACAGCTACTTCGGATACAGCGAGGTAAACGAGGAAACGTTCCCCTAGCTCCGGTTTTGAAAGTAATGGTAGTGACGACAATTATGCTTTTAATTCCTTCGGGGCTTGGACGTACTCAGAAGTCCATTAGAGGCCGTTATCCTTCTTGAGTATGCCGAAGAATCTGTGACACCTATCCGATGATCGTGAAATGAATCTTGGAAGGGCCGCGATACGACCAGTCAACCTCTGAACCTGTATTTTGGTGGTCAAGTGTTCTGGTATCCCCTCGATGGCTTTGATTCGATCAGGATTGACCTTGATTCCTCGATGTGATACCAGGAAACCTAATAATTTTCCTTAGGCCACGCCGAACGCACAGTTTCGGGGTTCAATTTCACTATGTATCGTCTGAGTATGTCAAAGGTTTCTCTTAGGTGGTCGATGTGATATTCTTTCCCTTTGGACTTGACTAGCATGTCATCTATATAGACGTTCCATCGTTTTGTCTAGCTGGACTTTGAACATCCTCGTCACCAACCTTTGGTAAGTTGCCCTTGCGTTTTTTAGCCTGAAGGGCATGACCCTGTAGCAGTCCGTCCCCTGATGGGTGATAAATGTGGTTTTCTCCTAATCCTCTTCTTTCATGAGGATCTGATTATAGCCCGAATAGGCATCCAAGAAGCTCAGTAATTCATGCCCGGCCGTTGCGTCGATGAGTTGGTCGATATGGGGTAATGGAAACAAATTCTTGGGGCATGCTTTATTCAAATCTTTGAAATCCACACACATTCGCCATTTCCCATTCTTCTTTTTCACCATGACCACGTTGGCGACCCACTGGGGTACTTCGACTCCCTGGTGGAGCCATTTTCCAGTAGTTTTTCCACCTCTTCACGTACCGCATCATTAATCACGGAGTTGAACTTACGCCTAGCCTGCCTTACTGGGGGTGGAATAGGTCGACGTTCAGTTTGTGCATGGCGATTTCCTTTGGGATACCCGGCATATCTGCATGGCTGAAAGCAACAAATTTGCGTTAGTAGTTAAGAATTGACGGAATTTACCTGGTTCCTGAAGCTTGCAGTCGATGTAAGCTTTCTTGCTGTGATCATTGGTATCTAATTGAACGGGATCGAGATCCTGTATGGCCGATACCACAGGCTCTCCGATGATATGCTCGCTAATGTCACATATCGACCTCGACCCTGTTGATTTTTATGCCTCTTTTTCTTTGTCGTTCATTTGTTGAGTGACCGTGCAGTCTAGGGCGATGCGATAGCACTCCCGGGATGTGCGTTGTTCCCCTCGTATGCTGAATATTCCCCATGGAGTCGGGAATTTGATGACTTGGTATAAGCTGGAAGGGACGGCCCTCATGGTATGTATCCATGGTCGCTCTATTGTAGCGTTGTACGTTGTGTCTTGGTCCATGATGTGGCACGTGGTTTCCAGAGTGACGCCACCGGCCAGAACGGGGAATGTGATTTCACCAGATTGTTAAAATTAGCATGATGCAACACGCCACTATCTTATCTTCGAGTTTCATTTGTGCAAGTACTCGAGGATGGATAATGCACGCGCCGCTCCCATTGTCTACCATAATGCGTCGCACATCAGTGTCTAAAATTCGTTAAGTAATAACAAGGGCATCATAGTGAGGGAAAGCCAAATCGTTGGTATCCAACTTATCCAAGATGATACTTTCTTCGAGTTCATCATACTGTTCGCGAGTGATTGACCATTTGAGCTTGTGGGTAGTGTTGAACTTCACGTTGTTGATGGAAGAATCATCGCCTCCACAGATTATTATGTGAACGGTTCGGGTCGGTGAGGGCGGTTTGGGCGGTCCTTGATGTTGTTCACATCCTCCAGCAGCGTTGGTCCTTCCCCGCTCGCTTAGCAAATCTTTGAGGTGTCCTTGTCGTAACATGTTTACGACTTCCTGCCTTAGGGTGATGCAATCTTCTATTTTGTACCCTTGTTCTTGGTGGAACTCGTATAGGGCGTCCGATTTTCTGGCACTTGGGTCTGACTTCATCTTTCGAGGACACTTTACCTTTGGTTCGAGCTTCTCCAGGGCATAGACTATCTTTGTAGGTGACACACAAAAGTTGTGAGCAGATAACTAAGGAGGCATACATCTTTCGTTCAGGTGAGTCCCTGTCCTTTACTTAGGCGGGCCTTCTCCGTGGCAGGAAGGAGGCGCAACGACCACTTTGATATATGGTTGATGTTGTTCCCTGTAGGGTCGCGTAGCTGCGCGGTCTCTTCTGGTATCTTTTCTGGATTCGGCATGTACTGAGGTCAGTCGATGAGTTGTTCCATTGATGTCGTCCTCGTCTGCTCGGACCTCGGCACAATACGCATTGTATATTTCATCCCACGTGGTTGAGGGTATTTAATCAGTCGACTTAATAGCTTTCTATTTGCCCTCGAACCGTCCTTGTCCAGCTCGTTTTGGAAGGCTGCAACTGCCATCCCTTCTGACACGTTCGGCAGGGTCATTCTTACTCGGTTGAATGGGGCAAGGAAGTCCCTCAATCCCTCTCCCGGAGACTGTTTAATAGCAAATATGTCGTTCACTCTTGCCTCAACCTTCTTGGCCCCATCATGGGCCGTTACGAACTTGTCGGCCATCTCTTTGAAAGTTTCAATGGAGCGCGCAGGTAGTTATGAATACCATGTTAACGCTCCTCCTGTGAGGGTTTCACCGAACATTTTCAACAAAATGGAGGATACTTGTTCTTTGGCGAGATCATTGCCTTTCACGGCAGTGACGTAGTGAGTCATATGATCTTCAGGGTCAGTCGTGCTATCATATATCCTTAGGTAGGGCAGCATTTTAGAGTTTTTTGGTATGGCATGTGGGGCTGCGTCATCACTGTATAATTTTTTGACGAACCGGACGGCGTATCTCTTAGGCAACAGTTTGGGGGCGCCCGGTATTTTATCGACCCTTTCCTGGTGTTCTTTCATTTGATCTCGGAGTACCTTGTTCTCGTTCTCCATTTCCTCTATCCTTTTCAAAAAGGTTGCAAAAGCGTTATCACCTTCATTATTATTGACATTGTGAGTAATACCTGTTGTTGGGGGTGGAGGGAGTTGGTTGCACTGTTCGTCCGCAGGTATTTTAGTGTAAATCCTTACATTTTCTGCAACTGCGTCCCGGGCGGGTTTGTTGAGGATGCTGGTTAGAGTGTCGGTTATCCATGCTTCGAGGAGCTTTTTTACAATTGGGGGCGTCTCTTCCCCCACAGATGTGGAGGCTCCCTTACCAAGAGATTTTGTGACGCTGCAATGAGGAGGCGGTGACCCATCTTGCCTAGGGGAGGCATCGGGCATTGCGCCTTTGTCTGCTATTTCGCAGCTTTCGTTGATGATGTTCATGAGGTTGGTTGGGAGGTCGTTGATTATTCTCACCCGTTCTTCCCTTTTACCTGTCATGTTGGGATTTGTGCACGCAAATAAAGGAGATCTTGTTCTTGCTTTTTTTTTTCAGGATCGACTTCGCACAGCCAGTCCAGGCAGAAGAGTTATGCCGACCGCAGAGTTCGTGATATTGCATTCATGGTCGGGGAGAGAGTATTGCTTTGGGTATCACCCATGAAGGGTGTAATGAGGTTCAGAAAGAAGGGCAAGTTGAGCCGTAGGTATATCAGACCTTTTGAGATTCTAGAGAGAGTGGGAGATGTGGCTTACAGACTTGCATTGCCACCAGGGTTATCAGCAGTTCATTCAGTGTTCCATGTGTCCATGCTTCGGAGGTATCACGACAATATGTCCCACGTGTTAGATTTCAGCTCTGTCCAATTGGACAAGGATTTGACTTACGGGAGGAGCCGGTGGCTATTCTAGCCCGGCAGGTTCGACAGTTGAGGTCTAAGAGTTATCCTTTAGTCCGAGTGCAGTGGAGAGTTCTGCCCATTGAGGCAGCTACTTGGGAGTCCGAGTCAGATATGTAGAGTAGATATCCATATCTTTTCACCAGTTCAGGTACTTTTTTATGTCCGTTCGAGGACGAACGATTGTTTTAGAGGTGGAGAATGTGATGACCCGATAGGTCATCTTATATTTTAGAACCTAATTTTGTGTTTTGAGGTCTCAAAACCTTATTTTAGCCTTCCTCGATTTGCGTGCGCAGTCCGGGTGTTCTTCCTGAAGGCTTATATGTTAAAAATTGATAAAAATAAGAATTTTGCCTTAGAAATTAATTTAAGTTGACTTCGGTCAACCTTTTGAGCAAACAGACCTAGATCCGTGTTTTGACAGTCCCGCTGGGTCTGTATCAGAATTTGGGACCTGGGCGTATGCTTGAAATCGAATTCCGAGGTCCCTAGCTCGAGATATGGAATTTTGATGAAAATCTTAAAAGTTTGAAAGTTTGATGATTTTAAGAATTGACTGATGTTTGGATTTATTGATACCGGGTCTGTATATTGGTTTTGGAGTCCTGTATAGGTCCACTACAATATTTATGACTTGTCTGTCGAATTTGGTTAGAAACGGAGTTGATTTGACGTGATTCGAACGTTCGGTTGTAAAAATAGAAGTTTTAAAGTTTTCTAGAAAATTTCATTTGATTTGGTGTCTGATTCGTAGTTCTAGGCATTATTTTGGTGTTTTGGTCGCGCGAGCAAGTTTGTATGATATTTTTGGACTTGTGTTCATGTATGGTTTGGAGCCTCGAGGGCTCGGGTGAGTTTCGGATAGGCTATAGGTGTTTTGAAACTTAGAAAAATCTGATTTTTGTGCTTCAGCTGATATCTGGTGTGTTCTTCTTCGCATTCGCGAAGGTACTCTCGCGAACGTGAAGAGTAAACCGGGGCAGGGTGATTTTCTTAATCGCGAATGCGGTAGCTGGGTCACGAACGCAAAGCAATGGGGGCCTTACCCTTCGCGAACGCGATGCTTTAGGGACATGGGGGAGGGGACACTAGTTCTTCTACGCGAACGCGAACATTGGCTCGCGAACGTGGAGGCCAGGGGGAACAGCCTTTGTGAACGCGAAGAGGAACTCGCGAACGCGAAATCCACTCGTGCTGCTACTCATTGCGAACGCGGCAGGCCCTTCGCGAATACGAATAAGGCTTGACGCCCAGACCTTAAAAACAGAACCAAAACGGGATTTTACCCATTTTTCATAAACTCTCCATTAAAGTTCAGCCTAGGAGTGATTTTGAAGAGAAAACTCAACATCAATTCATAGGTTTGTACTCTTTAACTCATTTTCTTCCATTTCTAACATCATCCATTAAATTCCTAGCCCTAATCTTTATTCTTTCATGGAAGAAAACTAGGGATTTAGCAAGAATTGGGATTGTTTACAAATTGGAGATTTAGACCTCAATTTTGGGTCGGATTCCGAAACTAATTAATAATCGGGCTTAGGGGTGAATGGATGAAGGGATTTTGGTCCGAATCTCAGGTTTTGACCAAGCAGGCCCGGGGTCGATTTTTGACTTTTGGGGGAAAAGTTTGGGGAATCTAAATTTATGCAATGTAATTGATTTCTTTAGCAATATTTGATATTATTGAGTCTATTGTGGATAGATACGAGTGGTTTGGAGGTGGATTCTAGAGGAAAAGCGGTAATTGAGCATTGGGTGGCCTTTGGAGCGAGGTAAGTGTCGTGGTTAACCTTGACTTGAGGGAATAAGACTTGTTTGTCTATTTGCTACTTGTTTAAATGTTGGGGAACAACATATATATGAGGTGACGAGTACTTAAGCGTTTTATTCGGGTTAAAGCATGAGGGCGGGGCTTGGTTTCTTGCAATTATAACTTCCTTTGTTCATGTTGTCCATGTTTAGACTAGTATTGTTAAATTGATCGTTCTTATCATGTTTATGGATCTTCTGGTGATAATTGAGTATTGATTCCGAAGTTGAGGTTGATATTGTGGAACCAAATGTTGAAGTAAGGCTTGCACTTGTTATTCTATCTCCCTGTTGTTATTTGTTCATTGCATTATGGTAAGGGAGAGTGTTAATGCACGAAGGGTGATGACGTTCCATATTGTGTGTGTTAATGCACGAAGGGTGATACCGTGCCATATTGTGAGTGTTAATGCACAAAGGGTGATGCCGTGCCATATTGTGAGTGTTAATGCACGAAAGGTGATGCCGTGCCATGTTATGAGAGTTAATGCACGAAGGGTGATGTCGTGTCGTTTCTATTGATTTTATGGTGAGGTTGAGAGTAAAAGCACGAAGGGTGATGCCGTGCATTTTTCATTTATTGTGTTTACTTGTTATTATTGATTCATAGTACATTGACTGTTCAAGTTACCATTCTGCTGTAGTTCTCTATCTCGTATCCCCCTCAACATGTATTCCCTCCTAATAGTACATGTTTAGCTGTTATTTGTACAAATACTGTTAAAATGCACAGGTTTGTTATGTCGTTGTCTTGTCATAGCTTTATCACTACTCCGTCGAGGTTAGGCTCGACACTTATCAGTACATGGGATCGGTTGTACTGATACTGCACTCTGCACTTCCTGTGCAGATTTTGGTATCGGCCCTACCTGATCGTGAGGCTTAGCAGCTTGGAATTGCTATTAGGAGACCCAAAGTAGATCTGTTGGTGTCCACAGACTGTCACGACCCAAAATCCTAATCTGTCGTGATGGCGCCTATCTCGATACTAGGCAAGCCGAAAATCTCAATAAACCAAAACTTTTCTTTAAGGTTGAAAATATAATATTTAAATACAATACAAACACTCCCCAAAACCTGGTGTCACTAAGTATATGAGCATCTAATATGAATACAAGTGTGGAAAATATAGTCTATAATAGTCTGAGACCAAATACAGTAAACAAAGAGATAGAGAAGGAGAGACAAGGTCTGCGGAACACGGCATCTACCTCAAAATCTCCTGGAAATCAACCGCACGAAAGGATCAACACCCGCTATGTCCGGGAACACCTGGATATGCACACAAAGTGCATGGTATAGTATGAGTACAACCAACTCAGTAAGTAACAATAATAAATAAGAAACTAAAGATAGTAACGAGCTATACAGTTATGGTTCATTTCCAGTAATTCCAGCAAAAGAATAGACATGCTATCAAATCTGGCAGTTTAATGTCAAATCAATTTTTATACAGTTCCTGTTCATATAATCAGAATATCAAAAATCTTTCAGAGATTTCACAACAATGACAGATAGCAACTAAGTGCAACAACAAATGGAAATCAAGTACAACCTCTTAGGACAACAATCACTCACTAGGCTCCCAGCCCTCATCACTCACTCTCAATGGGTACCCGTGCTCATTGGGGGTGTACA